TTCCCCCATAGTCAGATAACAACTCATCCACAGTCAAAAGCTGAGTTATCAACACTCAGAAATGTGTCAGTTTGACCAGTGACTTAATATTGAATATATAAATGGCACAGAAACTAGAATTTGCGGCGACACCCACTCTGTAGGGCGACAGACGCTGTCCTTTCAGCTGGGGCTGTTGTTTAACCTTCACTGCGAGGGGTCCAGAGGGACCCCCGTTACCCCAGCGCCTGCTGATGCACAGCGGCTTATGATTTGCCCTCTTCATGAAACTTGAAGCAGCTCCTTGCTGCTGTCTAGAGACAGGCTGGGGACAGATTTAAGTTGAGCTTAGAGAAGTGTCTTATACGTGTGTGCTCGTCTGAGAACAATTTTACAGCTGTCGCTGTGACTGTGACCGTGGATGCTGTAATTTGCAGTCCCTCCTGTCCCGTTTTTTGGTGCAGCGATACTGAAATTCCTCTTCTGCGCTCGAGCTCCGACGGCGGTGCCTCTGGCTGAGGGCAGCGCGTCTGGAGAGCACCCTGACTGGGTTTCTACCCTTCGCTCCGTCGCCACCAAAGCTCCCAGGCGTGCGAGGGTGGGAATCCCCTGACTTCTTACCCCAGTTGCATAAAAATGGAAGATGCATGTTAAATATGTGGCTAAAATAATGAAATACAGGACATTAGGGAAGCGTAATAGGCTGCTTTTGTTTTCCGTGATCCTTCGCCAGGCGGATGCGGGACTGGCGAAGGTTTCCAGTGTTCAGAGAGGGAAGAATATTGATGTCTCACAGCTATGGGACATGTAACAAATGAAGCCAGTTTGGGTGCTTTCAGAAGAAACAAGCCTTTAAAGCTGCTAATACCAGCAGTTTCCAGGATTTCTGAGTCTTAAACGTCTGCTGCTCAGAACATGGCCTGTGACCAGGAGCACTGATGTCATTTGGAAGCTTGTGAGCAATGTAGCATGTCAGGGTCACTGCAGACCTGTGGCGTCACATGTGATGGTGTTTAGTGAGACCTCAGGTGACTCATGCACAGTACAGTTTTTTTTTGGTTTGTTTTTGTTTTTAATCTTTATTGATTTCAGAGAGAGGAAGGGAAAAGGAGAGGGAGATGGAAACATCAATGATGAGAGAGCCATTGATGGAGCCCACAACCCGGGTATGTGCCCTGACCGGGAATCAAACCCTGATCTCCTGGATCCTATGTCGATGCTCAACTGCTGAGCCATGCCCGGCCAGGCAACACAGTACAGTTTTTGAGAACCACTATGTTAACCCCTTAGAATGTTAGACATTCTACGATAGAGCTTGGGCTCCAGAGACACACGATGTGGGATCAAAGCCGAGCCCCCCCCCCCCAAATTTCCACATAGTTCCCTAAAAATATTCTATAAAATTCTATAAAAGTTCCTACTGCTTTGAATGCTTACATATCTCCCTTAGTTCATCTGTCTTGATTTTATTAAATATGGTACACTGCTTGTGCAACTCTGATCTCTACCATTTTCTTCCCCACATCCTGCTCATTTAATATTTAATATACACCACTCATCTTTTATAAGTCTGTTTTCTTTTCTCTGACTAGATTACATGGTGTTTTGGGCTGTCTTGCATAGACTAGCCACTCAGTAAATTTTAACTGATGGTGTGCTTAGATTAAAATTCTGTAGATTGAAGGAACCGAAAAGCATTGATCAATATTGCTAGAAATAGTAGAACAATAGAGCCATATATGTTGGACAAAACTCAGCAAAACAGTGAGGTCATTAACATGTACACAACTCAATGAACTTGAGAAAATTCATTTTGTTTGAAGGTATTCTTAGTTTCCAATTGAATTTAGGCAATTGAGAAATAAAGTTCACTTGATATAATTCAATTAAAGGCATGAATTTGACAATTGCTATTTTCTATGTTTCTGTATTCAAGGAATAATACTATAATTAATGAGCCGTTAAACTTATCCGTATACATTTGAGAAATAGTATAATCTAGTTGATAGAATTAACTTAGAATACAAGGTAAGTTCAGTTCTCAGTTTATCCCTTACAAAGTGTATAACTGGCGAGGTTGTTTAACCTCTTTGTGCTTTAGCTTCCTTGTATGTACAATGAGGGTGTTAATGAAAACTTTGTGCAGTTGTTGGGAGAACTGAGTTAATATAAGTCGAATATTTGGTTCAGCGCCTGTCATATAGCAGGAGCTGTGCGCACAGTATAAAACTATATGTAAGTCCGGCGTGGCCTTTGCTCTCACGGGATGTACAGTGCAGCGGAGCAAACAGGCCCGTTCAGCGGAGTTATAATGGCTATAGTGGAGGAGATAATAAACTATGGGAGGATGCAGAGTAGCCACCTGATCCAGAATTATCGTTAAGATGGTCAGAGGTGGGCGTGGGGATAATGTTTTTGCTTTTGTTGTTGTTTTTTTCCAGATGAAGTAAGGTCAAACTTGAGACTTGAGCAATAAATAGGAATGATTCTGAAGAAAAGTATGGCAGGCATGTCTACCTAGAGGTGGTAGATGTGCTCTTTCTACCAAGAATAATTCAGGTTAGGATGAAACATTAGGACTCTCTGAAAGGGACACATCTGTACGTGAAATACATTTGGAGTTAAATATACTGAAAACAGATAGAGGTAGAAGACTGAAATGCATTCACGGAGAGTGAGCGTATTTGAGACATTGCATCTTTTGAATTTTGTTCTATTTGTCTTAAGTTAGTCAGGAATCCTACAGTTTTTTAGACTACCGTAGTGTTTAAATATGAATTTGGATTCCTAGAAGTGTGGGCACAATTGCTGAATTTACATGAATACTGAAAAAAATTCATCGTCTTATGCTTTAAAATTTCAATATACCATGTAAACATTTTGACTTTAGTGATCTGCTACATTGTAATCTAGTGTATATACATAGTCTTTTATTTAATATGTTTTTATTGATTTCAGAGAGAGGAAGGGAGAGGGAGAGAGAGAGATAGAAACATCAATGATGAGAGAGAGTCATTCATCGGCTGCCTCCTGCATGCTCCCTACTGGGGATAGGGCCTCCAACCCAAGCATGTACCCTGACCAAAAATCGAACCATGACCTCCTGGTTCATAGCTCTACGCTCAACCACTGAGCCACCCAGCTGGGAAATATACAGTCTTATATTAATTTTTGCTGGTTGACATGTGGAATTATGGAAAGGTAGTAAGTGTTAGAAGTCAGTGTTGGCAGACCAATTTGTTTAAGAAAAAAATATAAAATGCATTTGTTTATATTACTATTGTTAATAAAAGTTTCACAAACCTATCGTTATTTTAGGCACACTTATTTTTAAAAACCTGATGATTTTTAACCTGTTTTCCTATCTCTTCTTTATTTCCTTTATTTTTATTTCCTTTTTTCCTATGTCAATTTCCTCTTCTGAAAAATGGGTGAGACTAGCATATTGTATTAATTGGCTTGATTACATATTGTTTATCATACATTTTCATGTCTTTGAGGAAAGCATTTAAAAGTAAAAGCATTGTACTTTTATATTTGTGAATACTTAATGAAATTTAATGGGTTCCAATTCTGATTATTATAAAGAGAATATTCTTTATAAAATACTTCCTTTGGGCATTTCGTCAAAAACAGCTTTGCATCTATTTGTCAATGTCTAGTATATCAAAAATACCAAATGATGCATCTTTTACATAAATATCCAATTTAATCATTTATCATTCCATCTCTTTAAAAAAAATAACACAATGGAAGGAGGGAGGCATTTATGGTAGATGAAACTTAAAGCAAATGACTTGGTCAGTATTGTACAGTTCCCAATGTTAGCATTTATACTGAGGTCTTTTACTCCATGTTCACTTCTTCTTTATTTATAACAGATCATAAAATATATTGTTAAAACATATTTTTAATGATATTTTAGAGAGAGAGAAAGGGAGAAGGAGAGGGAGAGAGAAACATCGATGTGAGAACGAAACATCCACAGACTGCCTTCTGCACGCCCCCTACTGGGGCTTGCGCCCATAACCCGGGCACGTGCCCTGACCAGGAATGGAACTGGTAACCTTTTTCTGTTCAGTACAATGCCCAGACCGGCCAGGGCTAAAATCTCTTTTTGATTTAGTTTTTCATGCTTAAAAATAAGGCTTATAATCAAACATTAATCAGTGCTGGAACAGTCATATAAAAAGTCATGTAATGAGATTTCTGAGTGGCAATTAGTGCATTGTCAAGTACCTGTATAACAAAGGCCTTATTTCCCTATGGCCCCTGAAATGCAGCTCAATTGTTAATTAGAATTGAAAGTTTGTCCAGCTCACTGCAGGAGGCTGTAGGTATGCTAGTTAAGAGCACAGGCTTTGAACTCAGCTCAAATCCAGGCTGAGAGACCTCTGACAATTTATGTAGTTTTTTTGTGTCTCAGTTTTTTTAATCTGAAAAATGAGAACAATAATGTTAACATACCTTGTTGGGTTATTATAAGGATTTTATCAATATATGTATATATATTTATATGTCTTAGTAGATTATCTGACCCACATAAGCATAGATTTAAATGCTTTTTATACAAATAAAAATAAACAATATTAACAAAAAGCTAAATCATGACTCATTGCATATTTAATCAGACAATAATAAGCTAGGTTCCCTCTAGGTTTAAGCAATTTATCAATATTCATTATATCACATTTTTATATGGCTAGGTGAAATATCAACTTACTGCCCTGAGCTACATCGGGAATTGGAAAAAATATACAGAATTGCCTAGGGGGAGGGATAGTGTTTTATTCATCTTTAGATATCTATGACTAGCAAAGTTCATTTGGGTAAGATGAATTTTAGAAGGTAAGATAAAGCAAAACAACCACATCACAAAAGTTACTGATGCTGCAAGACATGTCTGTTCTCAGTTCACAGGAGAAATACTTCTATGTGTCCGCAGTTAGAAATACTCGGTGGTATGATACGAACGATCACATCTCACCCGCCTCTCCTTTATCTCTGTCCTTGATGTCCAGATTCCTCCAAAGGGCCTCAGCCTTCTTCAGGTGTAAACGGGAACGTGCAGCCCCCCAGCTCTGCGGGGCAGCCCCCTGCCTCCGCCATCCCCTCTCCGAGTGCCAAGCCCTGGCGCAGCAAGTCCATGAATGTCAAGCACAGCGCCACCTCCACCATGCTGACTGTGAAGCAGTCCAGCCCGGCCACCTCTCCCCCGCCACCTGCAGACCGGCTGAAGCCCCCCGCCTCCGAGGGGGTCAAAACAGCTCCCTCGGGACAGAAATCCATGCTTGAAAAATTCAAGCTGGTCAATGCCCGGACTGCTTTACGCCCCCCGCAGCCTCCCAGTTCAGGACCCAGTGATGGTGGGAAGGACGAGGACGCCTTTTCTGAACCCGGCGACATGGAAGGTTTGAACAGTGGCCTGAATAGCGGTGGCTCAACCAACAGCAGCCCCAAAGCCTCACCTAAGTTAGCCCCCCCGAAAGCTGGAAGCAAAAATCTCAGCAATAAAAAGTCTTTGCTACAGCCAAAGGAAAAAGAGGAGAAGAACAGAGACAAAAATAAAGTTTGCACTGAAAAACCGGTCAAGGATGAGAAGGACCAGGTGACCGAGGCGGCTCCCAAAAAGACTTCTAAAATCGCAAGCCTGATCCCAAAGGGTAGCAAGACCACCGCCGCCAAGAAGGAAAGCCTGATCCCGTCCTCCAGCGGGATCCCCAAGCCGGGCTCCAAGGTGCCAACTGCAAAACAAACCGTCTCGCCGGGCGGCGCGGCCAGCAAGGAGTCTGACAAGTTCAGGACTACCAAGGGGAGCCCTTCCCAGGCCTGCCCGAGGCCCGTGGCCGCCGAGAGAGCCAGCACAGCCAGCTGCCCTGCGCCCCCCGAGGGGAGGGAGGCCGGCCAGGCCCCCGCGCCCGGCTCCTGTGCGGGGACCCCGGGAAACGGCGCGGTCCAGCTCCCGCAGCAGCAGCACAGCCACCCCAACACCGCCACGGTGGCCCCCTTCATTTACAGGTGAGCCGGCCCTCTTCCCCGCGGCGGTAAACGTTTGCAGCCTGCGCACTCGGCGTAACAAGGAAGGTTCCCCGAGTCATGTTTTACATAGTCATTTGGAAACACTGTTTCCTTCTGAAGATAGATACCCAAAATTTAATTTTTCAAGGAAAAAAAAAAAACCTTCAATATTCTCTCGTCCTTCCCTCCCCTCTCCTTCAAAAGTAAACGGATTTGCCAGAAGCAAACTAGAAGCCAGGCGCCCTGCCTTTCTCCTGTATCTATTACTGCTGCTACTAGGGCTGTTGTTTTTATTATTAGTCTTTTAAAACACTTCTCGGTTTTACAGAGTTTACAGATCTTTTTGTTTGCACTGGTAAGAGAGAGGATAGCATAAAGGAACAGGCTCTGGAATCAGACAAACAGAGACTTAGTGCCCAGCTCGGCCACTGACCAGCTGTATGACTTTGGACAATTACTCGCCTCTTTTTCTTTAGCTGTCAAATAGGAACAATAGTATCTACCTCCTAGGGCTGGGGAGAAAAACAAGGATAATGCATATAAAATGTTCACTGCATATCCTGGTACATTGTAAATGTTCAGTATGTGTTCTTTATAAGGCATTGTTTTCCCAACATAGAATTTATATTAATTTCCCACAGCTAGGCATAAGTTTCTAGGCAAAAAATAATGGCCTATATATGGGGTGTCCCCAAAAAACGTATACACACTTTTACAGCTGATAGCTCAATTCTGAAAATGAAATCTGTTTTAATAAACACTACCTTTGTAAGTATTCAAAGTGTGTGTGTACATGTTTTTCTGGATATCCCATAGCTATTATATTTATACTTTACTTTTAAATTTGTTTTTGCATTCTATTTATTTCACTGTGTAGGCATTAAATTTACATCATATGTCATATTTTAAAATATGTGTTCTACAATACGGTTATAAAAATAGCACGTTTTGCCTACTGCTCCAAGGTTTGTTTTAATCGATTAGAAATCTGTCAGTCACTGCCGCGTTTCTATTTTTGTTCGCTGTCCCTTCAGAGAGGAGAGAGCCCAGGGAGGAGTCATGTCAGCCCTTTTAGCAGGTCAGCAGTTCAGCAACAGGGAAGACATTTTCTGAACAGAAAGTAGCATCTGTTACAACTAAGAGAGGATCAAGATTCCATGGTTTAAAATTTATTAAATTTATCAAATACATGGGGTTTTAAGTAAAGAAAATAATTATAATGATTTATTTTCTCTTAAAAATAAAATATGTCGTTTGAATCATGTAACCCCTGGTATTCTTTCAACTCTGGCTGCTCCAACCCCATTAAAAATCTTTCCTGCAAAATCCCTCACAGACTTTCTGGAATTGCTAATCATTTGATAAGTAATAATAATTTACTGTTTTATAATGGTATTCTCATTTGTTGAGTGCTTACTTGATGTAAGTCTCTGCTGTAAGATTGATGTGCATTTTATGTGCAGTTTCTTATTTAAAATTTTATCAGAAACCCATGAGAAAGGAATGTTATTCCCACTTTACAGAAATGAAGAAGCAGAGATTTCAGGTCAGATTAGTGATTATCTCTCCAAGTCACAGGGCTAGTAGTAGTTTGCCTTTGAACCCAAGTCTGCCTAAGTCTACAGTTTGCCCTCCTTTGCTTGTCAGTTCTTTCTGCATTAAAAAAAAATAAGAGGTATTGTTACTGGGAAAATTCTGGCTGGGAGAATGTCAATGATAGTTTTGTAAAATTTTCAAACATAGCTCATAATGGGAAATTCATAATCACTTTTAATACTATATATTTTTTAAACATATATAAAGGTGTGTGTGTGTGTGTATATATGTGTGTGTGTATATATATATATACATATATATATATGTATATATACATATAGTTGAGGGTATTACAGGTGTCCCCCATCCCCTCCTTTGCCCCCCTCTACCCAGCCCTTGCCCCACCCCAAACAAAAACTTTTAAAAATAAATAGCCTTAATATAATGGAAAGATTGATGGCTGATAGTGATTTTTTTCCCCTTTTCTGAGCCAACTTCTAGGTCATGCTAGGTTATTAATTATTCCTTCTGCGACTCTAATATATGCTACATAATATATTCTTACAAATTGAAATGTCAGAGTCCTAAAAATTTAATGTTGGGTTCCGGAAGTTAATGACTATCTTAGTAGTCCTACTTCCTAGACAATGCAAAGATAGTCTATATTAAGGTCCTATAACTCATTTATCACTATAATGTGGTAAAAATTGTTTTGAATTTGACATATCTTTATCCATTTAATGAGCAGATACAACTAAAATATAAGGTGAACGTTTTAATTTGGTGTAAGTAGTTCTCAATAATTTGACCTATCTGAATGGAATAGGCTGCCTTTTTAAATGTTAAGGTGATTACTGGAGGCATTTAAGAACTAGTGAAATAACCATTTGCCGTGGTTTAGGTAAAGAGAAACCATCAAATACCTTTTCATATATGTACACATTAGTCATTTTGTAAACACTGAATCATAAGAGCTATGAAGACTTTTTTTAAGTCTCTAACCTCTGGGAGCTCAGTCTGTTGTGGATAATGAAAGAATATAATAAAAAAATTAAAATCATTGCTGTTATAGAGCACGTGCAACATATAGAAATAATGTAGAGTTTTCCTAAGTCTTAGGTTGGATTCAATAAACGCGTCACATAGGAGGTAAGATAAAAGATGAGACTTACAGGATGAATCAGAATTTGACAAGTAGAAAGGAGAACTGTCATCCAAATTTGACATTTTACAATTTCACTCTCTGAACATGATGGAAAATATAAGCAAATGATGAAGTGCTATGCAAATGCTAATAACTAACACTGCTATAGAGGCTAGAGGTTAGTATTCAGGATTATTTGACTAGGAGACAGAAGAAAAGTACAGGAAGAATCTATATTTTGTTTTCTTTTGATTACTACCTCCCCTTGTATATTTTCAGCTAGTTCTATGGCTCTTCCTTCAAAACGTAATTTCAATGATCATTTCTTTGCCTTTCCACACCCCTTTCCTGGTCCAAAATTGTCACTACCAATTCTTACCTAGTTTCTGATGACTCTTCCAGCATCCACTTTGGGGTCTTTCTAATATCATCCTTCATAGAGCAGAGCCTCTAAACTTCTAAAAGTATTAATTGTATATGTTATTTCAAAGAGACCATCTACTGGACATCTATTACTCTTAAAAGATGAAACTCAAATGCCTTACCAAGACCTACAAAGTGCTGCAAAACCTGGCCCTCTCCCTAACCCTCAAGGCACACCCACTCTGCTCTCCCCCTGCACACTGAACTCCTGCCTGGTTCTGCTTCTCAGCAAACTAATGTGTCCTGCTTTGTCACAGATGTCCTTTTTGCCTATAAGGACTCTCTACTCATCACAACAGGCTCCTTCTTCTCACTACACCCCTGCTTACATGCTACCTCTCAACAGAAGCTATCTCCAACTATCAAGTCCAAAGGAACACCCATCATCTCTTCCCAAAATTATACCCCATTATCTCTTCTATTTTACTCATAGAGTTTACCGCTATCTACTGTTTTTTCTTTACTTATTAACAAGCACGATTTCACCCACTTCTGACTGCAGTGTAAACTCATTGAGATCCAGAGTTTCTTCTTTATTTAGTAGCATAATTGTCCAGAACAGAGCCTACCCACAGTAGGCACCAAATAAAAATTGTTGAATGCAACACCATCATCCTGGGGTAGATTCACCTGCTACAGAAAAGTAGAAAAACTGCCAAAATGTACAGTGGAATAGGTTCTTCTTTTCTATAAATGAGAGGATTTAACTGAAATCTAAATAGCTTTAAATATTTACAGAATGAAATAATACTTTCTCTTTAAGACATTCACTCGCTTATATCTTTTTCTTCTTTCAGCATATAAACTATTATACATAAGCTATCAAGGGTAGAGTGAAGCATCACACATCTTATACATCATATTCTTTCCATTGTCCACAATGTAGTAGGCAAGAAGCTAACTCAAAGATAACTACAAAAGTTTAAAGCTCCCCAGCAGCGAACCAGAATTGGTACACTGAGACTTCAAAAAAGTGAAAAATTATTTTAGCTGTTGGAATCAAGGCAAGTGGCACTTGCGCTGGGTCCTGAAAGATAAGTGGGATTTGGGCATATGGAACTGGAGGGGATAGGCAAAGAAATGCAAGGCTGGAGGAACCATGTAAACAGGGTGAACGCAAGATAGTTAGAGTGGTTGGTGAGTAGGTCAGTATTCTTAGAAAATGAAGATTTATTAGAGCATGATTGTAGCAGAAATCCTTGAATGTCAGGCAACTGAGGTCTGTGTGTATGTGTCTTTGTGTGCGTGTGCACACAAACGTGCGCACGACCATGTGTGTATGAAGCGTGATGAGAAAGTCACTATGTCTTTAATGTGTCAAATGGATTGTTCGTGGGAGAGATCGAGGTAGGGTGAAGCACACTGAATGGCTAGATGAAGGAGAGAGTTACTGACTTTTGGAGGCATCTTTCTTCAGACTTGAATCAAAGGCCCCAATTATAGGAAGTAAAGAAAGAGGAAGGAGAGGAACATAGTTAAAGAAAAAGAAACCAACCTACTTTTAACTGTTTTTCTTATTTCTTAGTGTCTTCTCTTTATGTTATATTTTTCAACCTTGTTTTTCTTGCCTGCAGTTCAAAAATTGCCTTAGCTCCTCAGACCTCCCACAGAATGCCTGCCCTCTTTCCATGAGTCATTTGTCTTCCATTGCTTTGCATCATTACGTTAGACCTATGTCCTTCATGCTTGCAAAGATATGTGAAGTAAAACAGGGACATAATTAGTTAAGGAGAAAAGAGAGACCTCAGTTCTAGCAGCTCCTGACAAAATTTCAAAATAGCTGTTAACAAGAGGCAGAACTCAACTATTTTTAGCTCTATATTCTTTTTCCTTTATTTTCTGACTATTTGTAGTAAAAGCTAAGAAAATAATGCATTGGACATAAAGCAAACTCCTA